TCTTAAGGAGTCTGAGCATCTGTGAGCTGGACCTTATATTCAGAAAGACTATGGGAGGGATCTCGGAGTGGCCAAGTACTCTATGAGGTCTGGTTGATCCCCATTCCCCATTTGTGGGGCAGCTCTAGCTATGAGCATCCTCCAATCTTTTCTGAGAATGGAGTCCCGAGAAAGTTCGACAGATGTCACTATGTAGGGAATCTCTACCCATTTTCGTTCTCTGCCACTATCTTTCTACCTCTGAGAGCATATTTTGCTGTAATGTCCCCAAAACGGGCCATACCTCATCATTTTCCAGGTGATACTGAGGCCAAATGGTGTTGCAAAAGAACATCAGCTTTGTCTTTTTTAGTTCTTTAGGGACACTAAATTTTTCCCAATTTTATAAAAGACAGCCCACAGGCGAATCTTCAGGAATTAGAGGATTGACCCTTTGCAAACGTGGGTGCTGGAAGTCCCTCCCTCCTTAAACGAGGATTTAGGAATAAAGCTCGGGAAACAAAAAGACCAAGTCCCTGGTGCTGAGAGAATTGAGAGGATTGGGCCTATGCTTCCATCTAGGGAGTCGGAAGGTCTGCCCACGTCCATGGTCTTGAACAGAACCACTGGACCGAAAGCCTGAGAGCATCAGACTGAGTTCAAGACAACTTCGTGGCTGTCTGACCTAATGGGACCTGAGAGGTCAGGCCTAAAAAGCACTTCCAGGCCAAACCTTTCGAGTTGCTTGGAAATCCACCCTATTGCAGGGCATAAAAAGGGATTAGGGGAAGAGGGGAGGCTTACGTACCTTCCAGTCCCGACTGGTGATGAGCTTGGTATAGGCAGTTTTTCCCAGTGCAGGGAACCATATGATGAGGTCTAGAGGTTAGGGGTCCTGGAATCCCAAAATCACGGCCCTCGGGTCCTGCCCGAAAGAATTCGACCCAAGCCTTCTTTCAGCCAGAAACAAAGTTTATTGAAGATTCACCATATTAGCTAGACTCTTAAGGAGTCTGAGTGTCTGTGAGCTATTGGCTAGATTGTGAAAATCTGAGTAGTAGCTAGATTATAAGAATACCAGCCCCCCCCCTTTTAAATGGAACCAGATACCTTTTTCTGTTCTCCCCCTCCCCCCTTTATTTGGGTAAGTGTGAGAAATAGAGTAGTTCAAAATGAGCAACTGCGGGGGCAGAGGGCTGGTCAGCACAGGGCATGGCTTTTGGTGCCTCCCAGGAGTGCTGCTGCCCAGGCCACCCCAGCCCCTCTCGACCGAAGGATAATGTGGAAGACCCAGCTGGGCCAAGCGTATGGAGTTGGAGGGCCAGACCGCAGAGGTTACATTGTGGGATCCTGGCCATGAGGTCGAATGCCTCCTCACCTTGCTGAAGAGAGACACTGGACCTCAGTGGTGCAGCTTGGCTTAATTTCTCCACACGACAGTCAGCTAAGTCTCCTGCGGCCACCTTTGAAAAACATGGTGGCACCTATCCCAAGGAGAAGGACAATTTGGAGTGAGTCGCCAAAGACGTAACTCCTCTGATGATTTTTTTTTTTTTTTTTTGTTAGGCAGTGGGGTTAAGTGACTTGCCAAGGGTCACACAGCTAGCAAGTGCTATCTCTCTGAGGCCAGATTTGAACTCAGGTCCTCCTGAATCCAGGGCCGGTGCTCTATCCACTGCACCACCTAGCTGCCCCTTGATGATTTTTTTTTACCAGTGAGCCCCTACGGACTCCAGGAGATTCCTGGCACCAACTCTCCCTGCTCCACCGTGACTCCGTGGATTCAGGTGACTCCAATGGCACACATGCCGGACTCTCTGGGAACCAGTCTGGCTGGCACGGCTCTGCCTGGGGTCACGATGGCGTGAGCCAGCACGGCAGGTGGGAGGGGAAGAGCAGGGACCCACCGCCAGTGGAATGGCAGCTTCCACTCCCGCGATGGCTCTGGCCTTTAGGAAAAGTCGCCTACTGAGGCCAGGGAAAGAAGAGAAGGCAGAGAAGTTGCAGTTTGAGGAGGAAGCCTTTCCATCTTTGAATCCAGAAGCTGGGAAACAGAATCATCCAAGCCGACCCGTTGTGACCCCTTCTAGAGTATGGGAAAAACCTCCTAGTGCCAAGCAGCCTGCCGAGATGCTGGTCACCAAGACGGTTTCCAGAGAGGATCGTGCCGCTGCCTTCACCTCACCAGGACCTCACCTTGCACATGGGAACAAGCCCTCAGCTATTGTCCCAAAGCCAGCAGTGCCTCCTTCCAAGCCTGTCCATGGAGAGTGAGCACGACACAACATAAAGCAGGCTCGCTCTCCTCTAGCCTTTCCCAGTCCAGTTGCTGTCACCAAACCAGTAGTACTGGCAGGTGGTTCAATACTTTCCACCCCTCCAGCAACACCCCTCCCATCGAGATTAACCAGGCCAATCCATCAGACTGCAGACAAAAAGAGTGAGTTCCTGAAGACCTTGAAGGCTGACCAGAATGGGGAGATCTCAGAGAACCGAGACTGTGACAGACCGGAGGATGAGAACGGCGCACGAGAGCTGAAGGAAAATGGGGAAGAGGGTTGCCATCAGATGGCCTCACTCTCCCCCAGTGGAGGAGAGAGAAGGCCTTTCTCTCTCATTGGAAGTGGAGCACAGCTTATTGAAAGCAGCAGGCTGGCAGGAATACCCAGAGAATGAAGAGAATTGTCTCCCCCTCCCAGAGGATGAGCTCAGAGAGTTCCACATGATGACAGAGAAGCTCAGAAGGAACGGCTTGGGGAGGAGCAGCTTCTCCCAGCCACCGCCTCTCTGGCCTCTTCACCCTTGGAGAGACGCTTTGGCACCCAGAGTGACCCGTCCAGCGCCGCTCCCCGTCAGGGTTCTATGAGCGAAACCGTTCTTTTTCCTTTCCTTGTTCGTTGCTGTTGAATCCTTTGTGCACAAAGGGAATGATCCCAAAGAAGAGAGATTGGCTTGTTTGGCTTTTCTTTCTTTTTTTTTTTGGTTCAGCCCATTCTATGCTTAATAGAGACAAGTTTGTATAGCTGGGAAATCTGTGACAAAAAAATAAAATATCTAAGTACACACATATACACAAGCCTCCGTGTGCAGCTGTGTGTGTAGGACAGTAGATGTGTCTGACAGAGCCGGTGGCAGAAGTGAGCAAGAGCCGGACCTTGGCAGCCCCCCGGCCTGCCCAGGGCTACTCACAGTGTGCTCAGACAATCGTTGTCGATGACGAAATGACTATGGAAGTTAAGATAATTGTGTTAAATTAGTGCGAATAACATGGATTTTTAACTTTCTTTTATTTTTGGTGGCTTGGGTAGCTTTCCTCACTTAACCAAGCGTTTGTGGGTCTCCTTTTTTCCTTTTTGAGTGCAGCTGTAAAATATCTGGATATAGGAATTGTCGTGTTCTCCTTGCAGGCTTGATATTCAGGGTGGATTGTAAAATATAAATTTTTGTGAGATTTCAAAGATGAAGATTATTTTGATAACATTATTTACAGATTTTAAAAAGTGGTTATCACATGAGTTTGTAATAAGGGGGAAAACTAGTGCATCCAAAATAAGTAACTTGGAATAAATATTTTGCATCAGTTTGCAAAAAAAAAAAAAATAATAGAAAAGTCAATCAGTGGAAGAAAATTAGGTATACAGGCCCCAGAAGCAACTGAATATAGTAGCGTGGTATTAGATAAACCCAAGAATTCCAGATGCTGGGGTATGGATTCACCATTCAACAAAGAGTCCTGGCAAAGTTGGAAAGCTGTCTGGCAGAAATTTGAGGGTTAGATCAGTGTCTACCACCATATGCCATGTTAAGGTCTAGATGGATTGAAGATCTAAATATAAAAGATCATATCATAAACAAATTAGAAGAGGAAGTAAGAAATTTTCCCTAATTATTCCATAATTAAGAAGGCCTCCTTCTTAAAATGTCATTAATAGACTAGACAATTCTAAAGCAGCTAGGTGGGGAGTTGAGTCAGGAGGACCTGTGTTTGACTCCCAGCTGTGGTCAGCTTGATGCCCCTGTGGTGAATCATTGACCCTCTCTCAGTTTACCCCTCTGTAAAACAGGATGATAGCACCTGCCTCCTAAGGTGATTGTGAGGATCTAGTGAGGTCACATATGCACAGCTGCACACAGGCACACTCGGAGCTCATGCGTCTGTGAGACGCTGAGGCTGGTAATAGGCTGACGCCAATGGGGCGTCTCTGCTCAGCCTGGCACCAACAGAGTGAGCCCCAAGTGGGCTGCCTAGGGAGGGATGAGAGCGGCAGCTGCAAGAAAACCCAACATTCAAGCCATTGAAATAAAGCGTGGTGCCGACTTCGAAGCAGTATTCTCCAGGGAGGGAGGCTGTGTGTTGGCAGGTGAAGGGTGGAGCCAAGGTGATGGCAAATCTCTCCAAAGAGATCTGAGCAGACCAGCCCATTCATTTTCACTTCTAGGATGGAAGAGTGGTACAGAAATCTGATTTCCCACACACATTTCCAACCATCTTAAAGATCTAGTTCTATGTAATTGTCGTCTTCTCCCACCTTTGTTCAAGTCTGGGGAGCGAGTGGCAGGGAGGGAGCAGCGTGGCTGCCCAGCCCTGAGGCCCATGTTGGGTGCCTTGCTCTGTGCTGGTGCAGGGGGCTTTATTTAGCAGAGCAGGAAACAGAGGGCTTGTATTTGAAAGGCCGCAAAGAAGGAATTCTGGGTGGACAGGGGAGAAAATCCTTTTCCATTTGGCCTGTTCTTCAGCATTTACCAGTCCAGTGTCTGTGAGTCTTTGCTCACGTCCTTTGGTGGTCACCCGCACCAGAGACTCTTCTTTCTTTTTTCTTTTTTTTTTTTCGTGAGGCAATCAGTTAAGTGACTTGCCCAGAGTCACATAGCTAGTGAGTATCATGTGTCTGAGGTCGGATTTGAACTCAGGTCCTCCTGACTCCAGGGCCAGTGCTATGCCCACTTTGCTGCTCCTTCCAGAGACTTTTCTCCAAGTGTCCATCAACCTAAATGTTTCCTGTTGTTCTTTTCTTCTCTAGATCCTGTTTGACCAGACGCAGAGATCAATTAAGGCACAACTTCAGACGTTTGTTAAAGAGTAAGTCAGCCCTTGGTTCTGTTGCTTAGGGAGGAAAAGGGGGAGCCCCATAAAGTACAGAATAAAATTAAGCCCCCATTGGATGTTGTGGGAATTAGGATCATCTGAAAGAAGTTGCTGAGCCCGATTCCTGGGATACAGAGGCTGGGCTGGTGGCCGGGCTTCCTTTTACAATTCTGGGCACCAGGTAAAGTGGACATCTCCACGTGTGGCCTAGACCGGAAAAGAAGGCTCGTCCAGGATAACACTGCAGGTCTCTTCTGTCCGTTGCTTTTTCTCTTGAAGGCATCGTGAAGCCTTGGCTGTCCTGGGCAGCTTTCCAAGCTGTCCCACTTCTCTTGGCTTCTCTCTGGCTTTGCTGTGCTCCCAGAAGGTGCCGTGGTGACCCCTTTTCTGCTGGTCTCTACCTGTCCCACCCCCTTCCCATTGGGAACAAAGACAGAGCTTTGCATTGTTACAAAATCACACCCCCTCTTGGTGTGTTCTGGGCTTGTGTCTGGCCTTCTGTCCTTTCTATTCATCAGACTCCCTCCTTTTCTGTGGTTGAACCATTGACCAGGCCCAGGAGCTCCAGTTCCTGCCCTGGCAGTCACCAGGTCCCTCCGCACTAGTGTTGCTCTCCTGGAGGATAGCCGTGGCGTGATTTGGCACGGGCAGATGGCCATGGTGCTGTTGTCGTGGTTCTTGGGCTTCCTGATGGGGATCCCACTGGCTGCTCCCCTGGTTGGGCGAAATCAGAGCCAGTGACCTGGGCAGTGCTACTGATTCTGGGCTCTTAGATTGACCCATGTGCCAATGGCATTGGTGGCAAGGCTGGTGGTCTTTTTCTCTGGCCCTTGGCTCCAGGGGCTAGGTTGGAAGGGTGACTGATGTTCAGGGCTGGCATACCCAGTCTGGGCCTCTCAGACTTAGCTGTTTGTTCAGGATAGTGGGGAGGTAGGACCAAATGGGTATAATATTCTGAAGCCTCTGCTCGGGTCCTGTTGGCGGGCAGCTAGCCAGAGGAAAAAGCCTGGGCCTGCTGGTCATCGCCTGCCGGGAGTGGGGGGCTAGACGCTATTGAGAAGTTGTGATTGTCAGGGAGAAATGCACGTTCAGGAACGTTTCATCCTTTTGTAAAAAGTAAATTGCTGTCTTGTGATTTTTCTGTTACCTACATTTCCCAGTTTATCCCTTCCTGCCTGCTCCTTCCCAGAGTCACTCCCTAAGAAAAGCTCTGTGAAGTCAGCCGGCATATTGGAGACGTCTGACTGAGGCAGTGTTTGCCCCCCCACAGGGAGCAGTGCCCCCCCCTTGTAGGGAGCCCCTTATTGGGAGCTGCCTCGGCGGAGCAGGGGCCCTGGTCCCTCAGTCACCACTCGGGGGCCACATTGGGTCATTCTGGTTGCTCCATGTTTACGGGGGCTGCTTCTTTCTTTGTTGCCGGAGTCTTCGGTATCTTGTGTCTCGGGGTCCACTGGCTTCCCTCCGTTCTTCTCTCTGGTCATATCCGTGGCCGTTTCGTAGCCCGGCAACACTCCAGTGCTGCGAGTTGGCTGTGGCGGGTCCATGGACACCTACTTTGTTCCAGTTTTTTGCCGCCAAAAAGAGCTACCCTGAGTCAGTCGGTGTCTGTGGGCCTTTGTCCTCAGCCTCCTTGGGGTACAGGCCCAGCCGTGGGGTCTCTGGGTCACAGGGTCTGGACGTTCTCAGCTCAGAAAATTTCCTGCTTTTGATCTGGAAGAGACAGAGGTGGGGAACAAGCAGGAGCACGACTGAGGGGCGGTGGCAGAACGATCTTACGGTCTGTCCTGCCAGAATTATTTTAAAGGTTGAAAGAAAATCACCCGCCTTGCTCTTTTTAGAGATCTCAGAAAGTTCAAAGATGCCAAGAAACAGTTTGAGAAGGTCAGTGAAGAAAAGGAGAGCGCCCTTGTGAAAAACGCCCAGGTTCAGAGAAACAAACAGCATGAAGTGGAAGAGGCCAGCAGCATTCTGACGGCCACCAGGAAGTGCTTCCGGCACATTGCCCTGGACTACGTCCTGCAGGTACGCGGGAGTGGGGTCCCGGCGGCTTAGGCCTGGCCGAGAGGCCGTCAGCGGTTGGAGCAGAGGATGCCTCCCTGGTGCGGGGCAGATAGTAGTTCTCAAACAGCCAGCGTTCCCTTCCCTGCTTTAATCTTGGGAGCTCCCGAGTGATCATCATTTATTAAATGCCTTTTGGGTGTCAGGTGCTGGGTAAGTGCTTTTCAGATAGGACCTCACTCAATCTTGACAACGGCCCTATTATTATCCCCATTTTGCAGTTGAGGAAACTGAGGCAGACAGAGGTGAAATGACTTGCCCATGGTCACACAGCTAGTGAATCTCTGAGACTGGATTTGAACTCGGGTCTTTCTGACTCCGGGTCCTACACTCTGTGCCCTGTGGTGCCCCCCTCAGCGACGCCTTCAGACCAATCGCCCTCTCCGTCTTGTACTTGTGAAATGGATTTTTTTTTAATCCCATGTTGGTAAGACTTTGTTTATCCCCAGTGAGTCTCCTCTTAGGCCCAGGCCCAGCATTCTGGCCTCATGGGGCCTTCCTGCCCCTTCAGCTCCCAGTTCCGTGTCATTCTCAGATGTAGTAGGGGATTCTTTGTATTGAAACCATTGATGAAAATGTTGACCCATGAGGGCTGGCCCACAGGAGGTCACGCACCCATTGCAAGGGCCTCTGCACTGTCCACGTGGCTCCAGAGCTATCTCCTCGGCCTTTGGGGAGCTCATGGCTTGCCGCCATCTTTGCCATAGTAGTGGCATGACAGCAAAACGCTGCCTTCCGAGCTTGCTGTCGGGCTCAGGAAGAACAGAAGATATTTGTTTTGTCCACCTCCAGGGTGAACGTTTTACAGTGCTCTGCATACGCCTGCCGGGACTGTCCATTGGTAACAGGGACCCCTGAGTCAGGAGGCCTCACTGAGGGTGGATGGCTCTTTCTTTGTGGGTCATGGGGAGCTTTACAGTCAGGGGCCCGGATGCCAAGAGAGTGAAGGGTGTTGGTCCCTTGCTTTGTGTCCTGATGGCTGGATTTACCTCCTTAGCATCACTAAGATAAGATACAAGTTAACTTTTAAAATGAACTTGTCATCAGAAAAGTGACTTTTCCACTGTCTGGGAAAAGTTAGATTTTTTTTTGTCCTGACAATTGCCTTCATTTTGTGAAGTTCCCCCTTCCTGTGCTTCCCGGCCACTTCTACAGAGGGCCCTTGACGGGGCTGCTGCATGGCTTCTGATTTCCTTGGTAAGCACTACAAGACTTCATTCTTTATTTGGGGCCATCTGTGATTTTATCAGCATAGGAAGCTCCCAGTGTGGAAACCTCCTCCACTGATGTGTAGCGTCACCCTCTCTAGAAAGCACAGGCAGAATTATGTGGGGCAGCGAGAGTTAAGGGGTTTGCTGTGGTCACTTAGCCACGGTGTTTTAGAAGCCAGACTGAGCCCCCACCGCTCCCTGCTGTCTGCCATCAGGCCACACCAGCCTCTTCTCTTGTTGTTTTCTAAATTTTCTTTATTTTATTGTTCTATAAGTTCCAAACTCTCTCTGTCCCTTTCCCCCCCAACCCTGCACTGGAGAAGGCCACATTTGACACAGACACACACACACACACACACACACACGTAAAACTATGCCATGCCTACTTCTGTCTACTTCTGTTTATCAGTTCTTTCTCCGGGGGTGGAGAGCATCTCCCTTGGTAGGTCCTTGTGCTCGATTTGAGTCTTTAGAATACTCAGGGTAATTTGGTCACACACAGTTGCTCTCGGAAGAGCGCTGCTGGTCCCGTTCCCAGCCTTCTGTCATTTCTCTCATTTCACTCTTATTGCTCCGTACAAGTCTTTTCCGTGTTTCTCTGGCACCAGCCTGCTTGCTGTCTCTTGCAGCGCAGTAATATTCTGTCACAGTCATAGACCACAGCTTGTTCAGTGATTGGCCATCGATGAGCATCGCCTCAATTTCTAGGTCTTTACTGCCACAAAGAGAGCTGCTATCAGCATTTTAGAACGTAGAGGTTCTTTACCTTTTTCCTTGGGAAACAGACCTGGTAGGGGCATTGCTGGGTCAGAGGGTATGCTGAGCTTTAGAACCCTTTGGGCAGAGTTCCAAACTGCTCTCCAGAGTGGCTGGGCGAGCTCACAGCTCCACCAACAATGCATTAGCGTCCCCATTTTTCCACATCCCCTCCCACGTTGGTCCTTTCCCCTTCTGTCATTTTAGCCACTCTGTTAAGTGTGAGGTGATACCTCAGAGTTGTTTCAAAGTGCATTTCTCTAATCCATAGTGACTTAGAGCATTTTTTCATATGACTGCGGGTAGCTTTGATTTATTCTTCTAAAACCTGCCTGTTCCTATCCTTTGCCCCTTTATCAGTTGGGGAATGACTGCGGTTCTTAGAGATTTGACAGAGTGCTCTATGTAGATGAGATATGAGGCTTTTATCAGAGACACTGGCTGTAAAACATTTCCTCAGTTTGCTGCTCTCCTTCTGACGTCGGCCGCTCGGCTTTCTTCGTGCGCACGCCGGCCTCTTTGGATTGGCTTTTCAGCCGTGTTCCCGAGTGTTTCACACTGTCGGTGTCCTCAGACTCTGCAGGTGTGAAGGTTCTTAGAGATCACCCTTGGCAAGTGTTCTTAAAAATCACATTGACTTGTATTTGGGGAGAAAAAATCCTGCTCCTTTACATTTCCTGTGATTCCATTAGAATAGTTTTGTGATTTATGTCTTGACTTGTTTCTCTGATGTCAAGAATAGGGTGAGAGGTGATCATTTTCTTTGTTAGTTTGCAGCTATTGGCCAAAAAGCACCCTGCAGCCTGAGTCTGGCCTGGGTGGGCCTTCCTGGACACCTTCCTTTGGGGCCCTGGCTTGTGGAATTGGTCGTTTTTTCTGAAAGGAATCGGCACTAACGACTTCCTCTCTCCCCAGATTAACGTGCTTCAATCAAAAAGAAGATCGGAAATCTTGAAATCAGTAAGACATTTTATGAATACCCTCGCTACCTCTGTATTCCAATATGAAACACGACCCAATTGAATTCCACTGGCTTTTGTAAGTGGGCGCCATGGCTTGTTTGTGAGGGGGGCTGCCGTGCTGGCTGTGCCAATGTCACGGTACACACACTCTCCTGGGGGTGCGGAGGGGGATGGGGGTTGCCTGGCTTCTCATCCTCCTCTGGGCTGCCGTGAGGAGGCTCTCCCTGCTACAAAAGAAGACCCTCTCGAGTGTCGAGAAGTTAGAGTAGAAGAGGTGAGGAGAGCCAGGCCTGGCTGAGGAGGATCCTCCAGAGGTGGGGCCCAGCAGGTCCACGAGGCCCTGCCTCATGGTGCTTGAGCAGGCCCAACCCCCGCATTCTGCAGGGGAGGAAACTGAGGCAGAGCAGGTCTCCCTCCAGTCAGATACCATCATCTCACCATTTACACTTGTAGCTTAGCAAAGGCTGGGATGCTTAGAAATCGTTTCTGGGAATTATTTCCTGTGACTTTCACAGAGAGTGCCATTCAGATGGCTCTCTCCCTCCCTCCCTCATTGTCTCTGTCTCTCCCTCCCTCCTTCCTTCTTGCCTTCTCTCCATCTCTTTCCCACTCCCCCTTCTCTCTTTCTCTCTGTCTCTGTCTCCCTCCCCTGGCACGTGTTGGGCATCTGCACCTTTTGGGTGTCCCTCCTTCGTGGGCAGAGCCAGGTTTGGGGTTGCCTCTTCAATACCTTATTAGATGCTCTGTGGCCCACATCGAGCCTTTGGTTTGATATTTTCGGTGGGCTTTTCTCCTTTGGCCTTTGTTTGCTTATACTTTTTCTCAGTTTTGGTGCTTAATACAAACCCTTTCCATGTATGCAAAGCTTTCTGGTAGGAGGAGGGTCCCCTTTCATCAACGTCTCACTCGTGCCTGTGAGGATTCCTTTCTGTGACTAGGAAGAGAGCCTGGCTTCTGACTGGTTCGGGGGCAGCCTCCTGAGCTGCCCAGGCTTGGAGACAGGCCCAGCAATGGACAGCCCTGCTGAGGGCCCCACATGGGTCCCAGGCTGGTGCGTTCTTTCACAGAGACCTCAGTAATGCCCCCGGTGTGGGCAGGGCAGGCGATGTATCTCAGGTCCTTCAGGGGTCACCTGCCCCCAGGTGCAGCAGCCACTCTCTCTCCTGAGGCAGATGCCAGAGGGCTCAGGGGATCGGCACACCATGCAGGCAGGCTCAGTGCTGCTTTTTGCTAAGGAAAGAGAAAGCCCAGCTGGGTGGGCTGGAGGGCTTGGCTACTTTGGGGTGGTTTAAAAAGGGCCTCATTCCTTCCTGTGCTCTGAGAGCCCAGTTGAGAGGGTTTGAGTGGATGGGGTTTCCTTGGCACTGGAGTTCCCACCTTGCCTGCCCCATCAGGGAAGCGTGGCCTGGCCTGTCACCTGCAAATGCCTCCGTGGCCTGTGTCTTCTCTTTGCTCTCCTAACCCACGGAACCCGGGCTGTATTTTGGGGATGTGGAACTGGACAGGTGCTTACTGCTGGAATCAGCGCACATGTTGGGTTGTTTATTTCTAATCTTACCAGGTCAAAGTTGAGCCATTTTTACAATTTTTGAAAGCCTGGGCAGTTCCTTTTATTTGAATTTCTGGCAGAGAAAATTGTGACTTTAAACCTTGTCACAAAGCTACTGCTCTTTCTGGTGAATTTTTCATAATTGTTTTCTTGTGGCCTAAGTCAAACAAGACATTTTAACTCCTTTTAAATGAATCTTGAAGAGCTAAGTCGGGTCAGAGACACTGTCAGAATGTTGCCACCTTGGACCCTGGATTCTTTCTCTCCCATTTTACAGATAAGGAAACAAAGCCCCCTGCTGAGCCTGTCCTTTTTTTAAAATCCCCCATGGAAGCATGTGCCAGTTTTGTGTGTGTGCTTGCGCTGGCACACCAGGTTCAGTCTAATAAGAGGGCACACATTTCTGTAAGTCGGTGTGCATCAAACAGGTTGGGTCTCAGTACGGGTTTGACAGTGACCTGCAGTGACCTGCATTTTAAACAGGGGCAGGAAGAGGAGCCTGTTTACTTTGCTTTGAAAATGTGAACTCTTCCCTGTAGATCGTTGAGGCTCATTCACAAAAGGTGGGAGTGCAGGTGACCTACAGTTGGAGGAAATAATCCCCACCATGCCCCAGTGTATTTCTCTTCATGACACGTGATGAGCGTTCTTGACAAATTGAGTCAGGATTTCATGAAGTTGGTTTTAACTGTTGTGATCTGTGTTTCTTCCTGCCAGATGTTATCTTTCATGTACGCCCACCTGGCCTTCTTTCATCAGGGATACGATCTTTTTAGTGAACTCGGGCCCTACATGAAGGACCTCGGTGCACAGGTAAGGCCTGGATTCCCCAGGAGAGGCTGTCCTTGCTTGCTCAGAGAGAGTTTAAAGGGGATCTTCTTTGAGACTCAGCTTGGGCGTCACCTCGTTCCTGAAGCTGCCTCAGGCCCCTTCTCTCAACACACAGTACTTTGTATCACACTCGTTTGTGTTTGTGTTTATCTTCAGCTGGAAGGCAGAAGCCATTTTGTTTGTGGTCTTTGTAGCCAGGGGACCTAGGACAGTGCTCAGCACACAGGAGACCCTTAGTTGGTGTTAGCATTGGATCAAATTGAGTCAAATGAGGAAAATAGGGACTTTATGGGGAGTTTGTCGTCAGAGTCACTAAAGACGTGCTCGTTAAACCGTGACCAGAACATCTCCTACTTTACACCAGTCCTTCTTCGTAAGAGTCAGCCTGTTTTGTGGGCCAAGAGCCAAGATGAGCCCGAGGAGCACGACTTTGGGAATCCCATTCACACTCGACAACGTGCATGGGATGGACTTTTTTTCTTTTCTTAACGAACCTACTCTTGTTGCCGCGTGTGCGGGGTCCCTCCTCTCGTTGGCTGCACCAGCACTGACGTTATAGTCTTCTGAGTGTCGCTGAACAGAATTAAAAAACCCACTGGCTCCAGGGAGGCATTGTTTCCTTTGATTGCATTTCTTCCGTTTTAACCCCTCTGATGATTGATCCGTGGCCCTTTGATCAGAACCTAGCTGGGAGTGAGAAGGGCAGGAAGAGCGGCTTCTGATTTTGAAGTGCTGCCCAGTTGGTGACATGGTGGGTGTCCTTGGGGACAGGAGGCCAGATTCTAGTAGGGGCTTCTGTTGTCCAGAATTTGGTGGTCTTCTCAGGGGACCGGCAGGGCAGAGGGGGCAGGAAATGCAGATGTGTACCAGCAGCTTCAGCTCCAGCCTTCATTTTATGTACATCTTGGTTGGCGCCATCTGGCTGAAAAGTCAGATTGCCCAGGTAAACCCATTTTATAGCTGCCTTAGGAAAGGATGGACTTGGAGTAGTAGTGGAGAATTTATTGTTAGAAAGTGCTTCTCTGTTAATGGTACTTTGATGCCTTAGAAAGAAGCATTTGATTTGACATTTACATGTGTAGTACTAACAGCTGACATTTATATAACACCTGAAAGTTTGCATATTGATCCTCGTAGCAGTCTTAGGAGGCACGTAGCAGTCTTAGGAGGCACGTGTTGTTTCCTTGTTTTATAGATGAGGAAACCGAGGCTCAGGGAGGAAGTGACTTGTGCCCCACCCTAGAGCTAATTAAGTGTGCAGGGGATAGAAAAATGGGTGGGGTGGTGGCTAAGAATGTTGAGTGTGTAAGTGGAGGCTTTAGTTGTGTTCCTTTGCTGTGGACAGTTCAGTTTACATTTTTGGATGGGGGTGGGGGGCAGAGTAGCCCTGCCCAGGCAGAATGTACTGTCTTTTCTCTGCTTTGGGTGCTGACCTCTGGAGACTGTCTTAGCTTAGGACTAAAACCCCCATCCCCTGATGACGTAGAGTAGAGAGTCCATCAGAAATGTCTGCTGGGAGCCCACCATGTGCCAGGGCGCCTTACCTGGGACTGGGGTTGCCAAGACACAGACAAAAACCATGGCTGCCCGCCTTCAGAGAGCTGACGGCTGTTTTGGGGGTTACGGAGTCATCCTGAAAGCTGAGTTCTCCCCTCAGGATAATTCTGGGAAGTCGTGGGAGTTGGCTGGGGAAGGCTGCTGAACCTGCGGCCTCCCCAGCTGCTAGAGTGTGTCTCCAGTGGCCTGGCCTCCTGGCTTTGCCCTGGCTCCTGTGGCCAGCATTGGCTCAGCGGGTCAATCAGGAAGCTGCTGACACATGCAGCGTCCTCGAGGTGTGCCAGGAGGTGCCTTGCCCTAGACTGAGCTTTGAGACAGTCCTCAGGTTTGGAGAAAATGTGGGCCTTTTCCTCGAGCCCTGGATGTCACGGATAGATAGATGCTCCGCTCCTTTACAGAGATAGCATTGATGTCTCACAACGAGGCCAGGTGGCTTGGGAAGGTCACATGACACCAGCCAAGTCCTCTGCACCCTGATTTCAGAAGAAAATTGTGAGCCCTGTTCACTTGTTCTCCTCTTCCCCTGCAGCTGGATCGGCTGGTGGTAGATGCAGCCAAGGAGAAGAGAGACATGGAGCAGAAACATTCCACCATCCAGCAGAAGGTACTGACCAGCTGTGAGATGTAGGGAGAGATGGCGGGCAGCCAGTCAGAATCCTTCTCAGTTAGTGTGTTTGGTGACCTGTGACCTCCTTGTTTCCTAAGCGTTACCTTGGAAGTGAGGTCTTTCTTCTGACCCTTTGGTAAGACTTAGAGCCCAGCCAGAGGTTCAGAAAGGTGTCTGCAGCTCCCTTGGGTCAGGAGGCCAACCAAGGGGTTGACCTGGTGCTGTGACTAGGGATCTCCTTTATGCTAACTCGAAAGGAGGGCCTTTTGGGGGAAAAAGAAGCCCATAGACCCTGGGCCCTGTTACCTTTGCTTGAGAAAAGGGAAGCCACAACTGAAATTGTGTTCTAAATGAGAAGCCTGGGTCCTCGTCCTTCTGGTGCTTCTGTTTTCACCCACTTACACCTGAGGATAAGGAAAGGAGAACCCAGCGTATAGTCCAAAAGGTACAATGATGAATGCTGCTTTTTTCACGTGGAAATTTGAAAGTTGGCACAATGAACAATAATAGGAAACTCGATATACCCAGCTCAAGAACCCTCTTGCATAGGTTTAAGGGTCTCAGTTTGTTCTGACTTAGAGTAGAAAGGAGGAAAAATTGAATCTGGAGAAGTGATTTGCCGGAGGAAAACAAAGAAAAAAGAGGTGATCACTGAGAAAGAGAATGTCGCCCATGTTGTTGGCCTTTGTCGTAGAAATCGTTGAAAAATTAAGTTCCTCCTTAGTAACGTTCTGTAGACCCAAGACCTTTAGGAGAGTTAGAAGGAATTAATTTTTATTTTAAAATATCAGCTGTCAAGTTAAATTTGTGTATCAAATACTTAGATGATGAGTAACTTTTGAAGTGTGAAAATAGGTTTAATTTAGGCATGATTTTACTTCAAAATGTCCTTGACCCATCCCCTTTAACTGTGAGAGAGGACTGTCCCCAGATTTCCCTGAAGAATCTTTAGAGCTTTATGTGGAATACTTCAAACCTGAAAGTATTCTATGGTATACACCAGGTTATGACCAATGTCTCTGAAGACGGCTGCTTCTCATTAAACAGCTACCCTCGCAATATCTCTGCTTGCTGGGCTAAATGAAATTTGTTTTTAGAGGAAGGTCCTTCGTGGAAGGGAAGAGAGGACGATGAAAGACAAAAAAGGATTTTAAAGTGATATTGGGGGGAAAAGGAGGATCACAAAAGAAATGGGCCCAGTGCTCAGGGTGTATGGAGAGAAGGCCGAGCTGCAGAGTTTTATTTGGCTTTTGTTTTCTCTGCCAAAGAGAATCCTCCTGGGATCAGAAAGGGCAGACCAGAGGTGAGTCATTAAAAGGTAATGCTCAGTTAAAGTAAGGAAATGGCCAGAATGCCTGTGGCTGCCCTGGCTGACCATTTGTAGGCCATGTGGTAGGAGGGAGTCTTGTTCAGCCACGGGCTGGGCCCGACCATTGGCCACGGAGCTTCCTTGTGACCAGGACATCATTCTGTCTTCATTGGACTGAGTATCTTCAGAGCTCCAGACTGATTATGACTTCTCACTTAATTTAAAATCTGTTTTTTAAATTAATTTCCTTTCAAAGTTATATTAACGTTAATCATGATGTATATTTTACTCTTTTCTCTTAAATGCTAACACAAGGCCGCATTACAGGTAAAAAAAAATGCCAGTTAACCAAGAAATTATTATTGAAAGCTATTTTATAAAGGAAGAAGTTTCTAATAGTCACACCTATTTATGGTTTATAGGCACTGTTAGTTTTAATGTTATACTTTTTTTTTTTTTTTTTTTTTGGTTTAGGCAGTGGGGTTAAGTGACTTGCCCAGGGTCACACAGCTAGTAAGTGTTATGTGTCTGAGGCCGGATTTGAGCTCAGGTCCTTCTGACTCCAAGGCCAGTTCTGTATCCACTGTGCCACCTAGCTGCCCCTTAATGTTATACTTGTCAGTGTTTTTAAATATTCTTTATGTCATGCATTTGAATTTATGCATAATTATAATTATAGAAAGATTTCCTTTTTTACGTTCTATATTTAATTTTATTCGTTACTTACAAAAACGGTCTCTGATAAGCTTTCTGATCTTAGCACATGTTCAAAGCCATTATGAACGTTTCCGTGCCCTGTTGGTAATTTGCACCATTCTGTTGTTACTCTGCACTCCAGATTTTACAGCACTAGCCACATGGCTATGCGCTGTGCGGAAGCCCCTTGAGCATGGATGCCGCGGCGGGGGTTTGCTTGGGTTTGTTTTTCCCGCTTTGTCTCCCCAGCTCTTTCGTAGTGCCTGGCAAGTGGAAGGCACTTAAGACATGTTTGTTAGCTGAATGTTGCAAGGAAAAATGAAGAACCAGCTGGAAAATGACCTGCCTGAAATGGTCATTCAATTTCTCTTGTACATTGTGGTCGTTTTTTTTTCTGGAATTCAGGTTTGGTTAAACTCTATGCCTTGGTTCTTTTCTGGTTTGATGGACTCTATATTATAATATGTTAAATTAAGGGGTGTTCTTGAAATCACCTGATTGTTAGTGCTAAGATGGAAATCTTCAGAAGACTTAAAAATGAACCCACCCCCCCCACCCCCTTCCAGGAGAATGTCTTGGTCTTTGAAAGACTTTAAGATGTTGCTACTAGTTTAAATCTCGTCATAGACACTTAACAACTGTGTGACCCTGGGTAAGTCACTTCACCCTGTGTGCCTCTGTTTCCTCCTTTGTAAAACGAGGATCCTGGAGAGGTACGTGGCAAACCGCTCCAGTAGCTTTGCCAAGAAAATCCCAGATGGGGTCGCTGAGAGTCAGACTTGACTGAAAACAACTGAACAGCAACATCAACGACAAGTGTGGAAAGAATGTTTACAATGCCTTGGGGAGGCACCAGGAATGCTTGAAAGAGAAGAAAAGAAGTGTGGTCCTTGGAAGTTCGCCTGGAAATGTGGGATTTAAGCCCTTCAAGGAACCCTGGAGGCTTCAGCTCCGTTTATGTGACCTCTCTTTTTACAGTTGACACCCCATAAAGCAGGAGTCGTTGCTTAGGAACCCTGTTGGTTGTGGAAGAGCATGCACAAGAGAGACTGAGGCAGCTGCAAAGAGGAGCCACAGCGCCCGACGCACACGTGACTGTGTCTGCTGTGTACCAGCAGCAGATCTCCAGAGCCAGGGAAGCCCACGGAAACAGCAAAGCACCATTACAAAGAAACAAAAGAAAATGCCCCTGAGACCTGAAGAGTGAGCAGGGCTTGTGTCTGGGCTCCCCAGGCCGGGGGAATGCCCAGGACCTTCCCAGGTCCGTCGTCTCGGGGCGGGCGGAATGGGCACAACACGTCTCCTTGCTATCTGTTGGAGTCAGCAGGATCGCGGAAGATTATGGCACTAAAAAATCAGGATGGAAGAACCTTTGAGGTCATGTAGTCTGGCCCTTAAACCGTGGATTGCGACCTCATGTGGGCTGGCAAGAGGGCTGTAGTCCAGCCCTCTCAGTTTGCAGATGCAGAAACTGAGCCCAGAGAGAAGAGATTTTCAGAAGGTTGCCTGGGTAGTGAGGGACAGAGACTCTGGGGACATAAGGCCTGCCACTCCCAGTCGAGCGCTCTTTGTGATAAGGCTGTTGCTGGCCGAGACTCAGTCTGAAAGTCGAGGCGACTCCTTTGTTTCTCCTTCTAGGTGAGAAGGTCCCAAAGTGGGCAGTATGACCCCCTGGGAGGCACTGGAACCATGGCCGGGGGGGTGGGGGGCGGCGGCGTTGAATTAAAAAATAAGGGGGCGGTGGAAGAATAAGAAGGGAAGATAAGAACATTTTGAAAAATACGTGTTTTATCTGTTGTGTAACAGAGCCAAAGTCATAGTGATTATGTTATTTTCCAAATAAACACATAAACTTTAAGTTATAACCCACGAGTGGTCAAGTCTGCCTGACAGGTCTTAACAAGCAAGTGTTGACATGCGAGCGTGTTGCGCATTGGCAGTTTGTGATATGATACTATTTGGTTACACGACACAATATTGTGTCATCAGAATTTCAATGCAGAAAAAAACCACAAGTTTACAATAAATTATTAAATTTAAGATGCATCATTTTAAAAAAGTTATTTTACACATTTTTGAGATGATGCAAATTTAAAAGAAAAATAGAGGGTTAAGAAAGTAGATTTCCAGGGGGGTGCTGGGTAATTTCTTTTTTTTTTTTTTTTTTTTTTGGAAAGGGGAGGGTAGGCCACGCAAGCGTGGGAACCTCTGGTCTAGACTAAGAAAGACTCAGGAAACCGGGGTTTAAACTTCACTGTCAGGCATGACCAGTCTGAACAGGTTTCTGTGTGTGTCTGTCAGGAGAAGATGCAGAGAGCTGACCTCCACATCAGGAAGATCAGGGTTCTGGGATTACCCCGACCCCTCCTGTCTGTAGGGCTCGGCCCCCGGCAGACCCAAAGATGATAACACAGGTCCTGAGGATGTGGGGGTTGTGCTGCATGCTGGGAGTTCCCTACATCAGTGAAACCCTAAGTTTAGACCCAATTCAACTCGACACTGGAAGTACAATCTCTTACTTTTTTCTCTATGGTCTTCCAAGATAGTTTGCCAGACCCTTCACATTCCTGCTCTCGCTTCCCTTTTCCCACAAACAGAAGATGATTGTCCTCTGGCATGAGCTCCTTCATTCTTCTGGCCTTCTCTTCCATATATATGTATGCACCTATATACCCCTTACATGTATGTGCACATACTTAAACATACTTTCTTCCAGGCTTAGAGGGACGAGAGAAAAGTATCCCTTTCTTTCTTTCTTTCTTTCTTTGCAAGGCAATGGAAGAAGTGACTTGCTCAGGGTCACACAGCTAGTAAGTGTCAAGTGTCTGAGGTCGGATTTGAACTCAGGTCTTCCTCAATCCAGGGTGGGTGCTCTATCCACTGTACCTCCCCTCTCTCTTTTAGATACTGACCCTTCCAGGTGGTTTCTCGCTCATCCAGGGATGGAATTATCTATTCTTTGCTCCTCACCTCCCCCAACTTGCATTTCTTC